TTCTGGACATCATTAGGGAAATAGACTACCCATCCTGGACATCTAATAATCAGATTGTCCTTGTGTGTCTGGGAGCTCTTTGGGTCTAGTGGTAATAAACTGTGCTAAAATCCCAAAGGCACATGGTTTGAAACCTCCAGCTGCTCCAGGGAAGAAGGATGGGCCGTCTCCTCCCATGTGATTAACTGTCTCTGAAAAACCACTGGAGGCTCAGCTATGGGTCAGTTCTGACTCAATGGCACACAACAACAACCACCTGTGTGTTATATGGCTTTTCTTCAGACTGATGATACATCATCGTCTGTCAGTCCTCTGGTGACAGAAGAGCCATTGCCTGCTGTCTGAGCTCTCCCTCACATCCCTCTGCCCTGCACAAGTTCAGAGATGAGCTCTTGATGTCCCCTCTGGTCCTCGAGCCCTGCCTTCCAGACTCAGCCTCCAGCCAGACGTGCTGCTCTGACGGGTGTTCTGCCTCCCCCATTTCTGAGTCCCAGGCCCCAGTTCTAGTCTCTGGATCTCAGTCTTGGTTCTCTGGCCTGAGTCCTAGCATATAGGTGCTTCATCTTGTAACTGTCACATCTCAGTCCACCGTCCCCCTAACCTGGGTCCTGGAATCACCTGGATGCTGGTGATGAGGGCTCTGTGAACTGTGGGCATTTTGCTGGTGTCCCTGACTCCCTCAAAAGGCCCACTGCAGTCAAGTATATTCCAATTCATGGTGACCCTCCGTGTTCTAGAGTAGAACTGTTCAAAGGGGTTATCCTGGTTGTATTTCAGAGCAGAGTGTCAGTCTTTTCATCTGCAGTGCCAACAGGTTATATGAACTACCAGCCTTTTGGAGAGTAGTTGAAAGTAAACTTCTTGGACTTGTGTCTTGTCTGCTGCTACTTTGTTCAAAAAACCTTCGACCTAAGACTTGGATGCTACCCCTTGGCCTTATTTCCACCTCCTTTCTTTTCTATCTCTTGGAACACTGTGTTCAACTCTCTGGTCAGACTTGTCACCCTCCCCAGCAGCTTATCTCCGTCCCAACAGCCCCAGCCCAGCCCAGCTTTTGTGCCCACAGCTAGCCTAGTTATGTCCAACTCTGCCTAGAAATAGGCTCCAGTTGTCTCCCTTGCAGATTAGATTGTGTTCTGACCTTAGGTGTGAAGCTCTTTGCTGAGGCATTGTCAGAAAAGAAGCACACCTCTGGGGGCACATTGTGCAGATGGAGGGTGGCCTGACCCGGGCTATGACTGCAGCTGAATAGACACAGAACGGCTTAACTGGATTTGCAAGGTCCCACCCAGTCTGATGTGGCCTCTCTCCAGCTTCTTGTTACCTCCAGGCCACACCATATCACAGCTGAGGGAGAAGCCCTTCCTGGACTTCTCTTTGACTTTTGATCTTCTGCTCAGATTTCTCAGCTCTTTGCCGAGTATGATGTCAGCCTCAGTGCTCCTGTAGAACTCTACTCAGTAGCAATAGCACATGCCCAGTAAACACTGAATGCGTGAGTGAGTGAATTCAGCTGTGCACCTCTGTGATCCTAAGCACAAGATCTACATCTCCCCCTGCAAGGTGTTCATTGATTGATAAAGCTTATTACCTACCCTACAGCAATGAAAAGCTGTAGTGGCTTGATGGCTAACTTGAAGTAGGTGGGTTCTCTAGAAGAAAAACCCGCTTGCTGATTTCCTGTAGAGATTCCAGCCCAGAAAACCCTCTGGGACAATCCTACTTTGTCACATGGAGTGGCTGTGAGTCTTATTCAACCACATGAACCAGTAAACAGGACTTTTGTTCATTTGTGAAAAGATAACCGAAGAGAAACACTCTCTGTAGACTGTGGACCTTGCCAGCTGCTGTGTTCAGAGCTGGGGATGCAGAGAGGAGTTAAACTTGGGATAGGTAACCCTAACCCTTCTCAATGCTTAAAAATGGTTTGGAAGAAAGCCTTAGAGTTAGTTAATTGGGTCTTTTGACTGCACTTCAGGCTTTTTTTTCTTTCTAGGAATTGGACCTCATTATCTCTGCAGTTCCCATGGACAGTTCTCCCCAAGACAGGGAACAGAGTCTTGGTCCCATGTTCCCTGTCACCTTTGTCTCCTTGTGCCTGTGCGGGGCTCAGATGTTGAAAGTTTGTACATTTGCTTTAATGCATTAGCACATAATAGGTTCCTGTGCTGGCTGAGGAAACAATTTCCATCTGTTCATATATTGTTAAAAAGTAATGAATTTTAATATGTATATATATTTTTAAATACCTAATCTTTCACTTCTTCCTCCTCTCAAGCACAGAATCTTAGACCCTTTGAGGTCCAGCATCATTTAAGTGTTAATTTCTTCCTAAGTTCTTTCCAAGCACCTACACTCACTATGCAGATACCATTAAATTCCACAGTCTGTTCCTACTGATGTCTCAGAAAAAGCCAAATAAACACTTGCTGTATATTACAGTGTTTCGCTCAAAAGATGGGTTTCTTGTCCCCATTCTTGAAGCCGTGCTTACTCATTCATTTGCCTTTTTGAGAGAAAAGTCTGGTAGAACTAAAAAAGAATACAAGCGCCAGGCTTCCCATCTCATCTGTGAAAACATCTGCTTATTGTAATGCACAGGGCTCTCGTTCCAGGGTTTGCAGTCCTGAGCTGTTTCAGCCTTAAATCATCCTGAGTTGGCAAACAATAGTGAGGACCAGGCCAGAAAAGAAACAGACGAATCAATCCTATGTATGGAATGAGATTAAATAAAAACACAAGCATGCCAATAATCCCATTGCCAATACTTCATTTTCTAATGTATTCGTCTTGGAAGCCAGTAAGTTACTTCAGTGATGACAATGCTAAAAGTTACTCTACTCTCAAACTATTCCTTTGGAATTGGCATCCAGATCAGCAGGACAAAGCTTGATTTTTTTTTTTTAAAGAGTGAAATAATTGTTTAGAAATAGTGTATGTTGAATAATCACATTGGATCATTCTAGGTAGAAACTTTGAAAATGCCAGAAGGGATGTGTCTGAGCATGGACCAGAGCCAGCCTGTGTTCTAGTTCAAACTCTGCAATTGGTTAGCATTGTGTTGTTGGCAACTCAACTGTTTTAAGCTTCGACATACTGATCTGTAAAATGGGAATAAGACCTATGAAACTTTGAGGATTAAATGAGTAACCAGGGTTTGAGGCTTGTCCAGGTCACTTCCAGACTTTCATACCTATTGTATGTCACTCTGTTTTGAGCACCTCTTTTGAACCATATGTCAGCTCATGATCCAGGAATGCTGATATTCTCCTGGAATGCTACTGCTCCATGAGCTAATGGCATTAAAGCATCTAGTTTTACAAGTTAAGAAACTGAGGACTATGACAGAGGGCTTTGTTATAAAAGAAATATTAATATTACTACAGGTAATAATAAACATGCTGTAAAAGTAAATAGATTGTCTAAAACGGGATAGTAATCCACTTGGGGACCCAGCTTAGGGTCACACTGCTGCTGCTTCAACCCAGAAGAAGATTCAGAATGTCCCAAGGTGTCTGGGGAATGCTGGACACTTCTTCCCTGAAAGGAAATGTTGTCCTGGACTTCCTGCATCTACTAGAATTCTGAAAAAAATGAAAGGTGTAATTCTCATCCCTCCCTTTCTGAGTTTGTATGACTTTCAGCACAGGTAAGCAATTAGTGATGTCATGCATGAGACACAGGCTATAAAACAGAATCCAGAGAGGAAGAGTATAAAGAGGACCTAAGATGAAGGATAAAAGAATAGGAAAGTGTAAGAGAAGAGAGGACTTTCACCCTCGGTGAGTAGTAACCGGTTACTGCGATGACACCTTGTAGCATCTGTGCTGCATTCGTCCACCTGAGAATTTATCACCCACCAGTGAAAGGATCTGTTTTTTGCCAAGGGAAAAACCTTTTGGAGTGTGATCCCCATACTCGGGGTGTCTGACTGACCTCAGTGGTTAAGAGCTCTTCTACTAAAGGTTGATGGTTTGAATCTACCCAGCATCTCCTTGAAATAAAAATCTGGCAGTCTGTTCCCAGAAAGATTACTGCCAAGAAAACCCTATGTGACTATTCTGCTGTGTCACATGGGATCACTGTGATTCTAAATCAGTGTGGCAGCACCTGAAAACAGCTCTCAGAAAGGTTTTACTTAGAAAAAAAAGCCAGCAGCAGGTACAAATTCTGTGTACCACCTCCCAGATGGCTCGCTTCGTTATCACGCTAGTCAAACAATGCCGCTTGCATAGTGGAAAAGCCATCCTTTTCTACTCCTTTAATTTTTGAGTAGTGTTTCATAAAGATCATAAATATTTCACAAGGTGTCTCAATTATTTGCTGATTGAATTACAGGACGACTGTGCTGTCGTCCAACAGAATTATATAGCAACACACAGAGATAACTTTATGGCTGCATGTGTCTAATCCAGCCAAGGTAGTTGTCCTCACTCTTTGTTTTGTTTTGGTTTTTTTTTTAACCCCTTGCCCCTGGGGGAAACCAGTTAGGGGGGATCTGAACATCTCATTTTAAAGTATTCAAATATAAATTGAACTCTCCAGGATCTAGGTCATTTGGGTAAGAAAGCTCTTTTGGTAAAATCAGGTTGACAATTAGATTCGCAGAGCACATCACTGTTAAATTATATTCTTCCCATATTTTGGTTCATAGGGCAGTGTATACAACATACCGATGTGAAGAAACAGGTAATTGTTTTCACCATAATAGCACGGCCTCATGGTACATGGTTTTGCACTTTAATATGCTGTGTTCTGTTCTACCATGCTAATGTTTAAAGTGATACCACTTCTTCCATGGACAATTTTAGGTTCGTCTTTTGTTTTCCTTTGCTTTTCTGGAATAGCTTTCTGTCATGCTACATCTTTTGCCAAAAAAAAAAAAAAACAAAGAAATCGAAAGCATAAAGTGAAATAATCTTTACAGGGAAATAGCTGAAACAACAACAAAAATTGATTTATGGTTCCCCAGCCAAGATGTTATCCTCTGTGCCTTACAGACTCAATCTGTGTGCCAGGCTTCGATCCGAGCCTCAACATGATGACCGGGATCACCCCCATTAACCCGATGATACCAGGCCTAGGACTGGTGCCACCCCCGCCGCCAACGGAAGTGACTGTTGTCAAGGAAATTATCCACTGCAAAAGCTGTACTCTCTTTCCTCAAAATCCAAGTAAGTGACACCTGTCCGAAATACCATCTAATTTTAATGACTTTTTAAAAATAGCATTGTGTTGATTTTCACATGGGACTCTCAGGTTCTTTATAGAAAGTGACACCTCATTGTCCAGAAGAATCTAATCCCTAAATTAAAACAAATACCTGACAGTCTGTGCAAAAGCTAAATCATCAGCAGTGAAGCCAGTGGATGCGATTAGGGGATAAATATCTACATTTAAGGTTTCTTCCCTCACTACAGCCTCGCCTTGGCTGCTGAAATAGTGTGAGATAGTTGAAAACATCCATTCATCTTCACCAATGGGAGAGAAAAGAACTCTGAAATGTGTTTTGCTGGATGAAAATTGAATTAATTTAGCTGTTAGCAATTTTGGGGGGAGCCTGCATCTCAGAGTTTCTGGACCAAATTGCGTTTGGTAGAAGGAAATGTACATTTGATGAGGTAAATGGGCCAGTTGGTGGTGGGTTTTTTTGCTTTGGGTTTTTTGTGTTTTTTTTTTGTTTTTTTTTTTTCATTTAAGCCTCAGATGCTAAGGTTTTTTTTTCTTATTCACATTAATCAATGTTGCCTATTTTAAGTGGACTTTTCAGGAGATTGCTTTAGTAATCTACATATAAACTAGGTAAAATGTTCTGACAGTGTACAGTTTGTCTTTTTTATACAACCTCCCCAAAATTTCACAGTTAGTTCATTTAAATGTGAATAATGGGGAAAAAGGTGGGGGGTTTTCCCCCATGCACAATGCTTCCCAGCTTCGCAGGAGCTAAGCACCGGCCATCCTGTTAGGTTGTTCTGCCTGGCTGCTCCCCTATCTAGCTACAAGACAAGCAGATAACAAGCCGAGGTGCTTCATCATGTTGTCATTTCATCGCGTTTTATACTTTGTGAAGTTTTTAAGGTTTGGTTTCCCCTCTTCCCACCCCTACCCCCCACCTGCCACTGCCCATTTCCTGGGCTTCTGTATTATGAAAGAGAAATAAAATTATGCTAATGTGTGCATCATCCTTGTTGACAGACAAGTATCGCCACTCTGTTTGTTAGAAATAGCGGAGAAGGTAAAAGTTGGGGGGAGGACAGCAAAACTAAGACTGCCCAAAATAAACGTAGGTCAGCGAGTGAGCCTCGTGCAGTCAGCTTTACTTTGGCTGAGTGAACTAGGGAGAAAGAGAGAGCAAATAAATAAAAGACCAACTCCTCTGTTTTGTTGTGATTATTAGATCTTCCACCTCCTTCCACCAGAGAACGGCCTCCTGGGTGTAAGACTGTGTTTGTTGGAGGATTACCAGAAAATGCTACTGAGGAGATTATTCAAGAAGTCTTTGAGCAGTGTGGTGATATCACAGCGATTCGGAAAAGCAAGAAGAATTTCTGTCACATTCGCTTTGCCGAGGAATTCATGGTTGATAAAGCCATTTACCTTTCTGGTACTTTGCATTACATAAGGGGTTTTCTGATCATTCTGCTGTACTTTATGATGTTAATATGCACTGTCTCCCTTTTGCCTTAATGCAGAATCAAGTCTTCAGAGTTAGGGCTGAAGAATTGTGTGTTTTCCTTTGGCGGCCAGACTAGCTATGGATTTACCTTTCCGTAGGCACCATTTTCCACCACCCAGTGGTTAAGAATTCTATCTAATTTCTAATGAATGTTCTTAAGTCATTATTAGATGAGAAGAAATATTATGACTACTAAGGGCCATTGTTATTATTGGAAATAATAGGCTAAGGGCATAAGGGAGCTCAGGTGGCCTAGTGGCAAGAAGCTCCTATGCAATCCTGAAGGCACACAGTTCGAGGCCACTAGCCTCTCCACGGAAGAAGGATGGACAATCTCCTCCCACGCGATTAACTGCCTCTGAAAACACACCAGAGGATCAGCCATGGGTCAGTTCCAGATCAATGGTAAACAGCAGGAGCAAGGCTAAGGGCATAAAGTACTCTCAGAGAATAATTCCCATTTTTCTGCAGTGGACACCAGGACACTAAAGCATAGTCAGGTCCTTGGAGAAAGCCTGGGAACCTTAGGGTAAGGCCTCACAGCATTGCCCATTTGATCAGGCAGTAAGCTTGGTTAAGCCGTCCAGTGACCTCTGCTTCTTTGGTGCCAGATTTCATAGGTGAGTCTTACAGATGTTAAAATTAGCCCAAGTGCTGCTTTCCACTCTGTTGGTTTTGGAGCCACTCTGAGGCATGTGTCCATGAGGCTTTGCCAAATCTGAGAATTACGGGGCTGCTGTTGAGATGAGTTTTTAGACAGTTACATTTTTTAAATACAGCTCATTGCTATTTCCTCATACATGCCACCTTGCTTTTTCAGTAGGTCACTCTCTCTACGTCAACACCTTATTACTGAGGTAAAACTGAAGGGGAAGAGTTGGGGACACGCTCGGGGAAAACCAAAAAGTACATCAAGCCCTGCTGCCAGGTTTTACTTAACCTCCTCAGTCAGCCCATTACCATCCCTAAAAGTCCTGGGTTCCTCAATACCCTGGAAGCTTTGATGAGCTACACAGTGTCAGTGGGACTTTAAAATTTCTGCCTCAACAAGCCCTTACAAGGGTGGTGGGGCGGGGGGAGGGGGACGACATCCTGTGACATTTCAAAAGGGAGCTGAAAAAAGAAAGCATAGAGCAAGATCCCTTTACAGAACACAAACTCCACGTCAACTTCATTTGTCCCTGAACTGTGTCAGCCAAGCAATCCATTAAACACTTGGATTGGCTTTATTGTTTGGTTGGTTGTTTTGGGTGGTTATTTTGTTGGGTTTTTTTTTTTTTCCTTTGAGTGACATGACTCTGGCCTTCACACACCTTGGACAGGACACTTAAACTCTCTCAGAGCCTGTCACAGTACCTACCAAATGGGTTGTTATCAGGAGTAAATGTAGTGACAGACAGCACTTAGCTAGGGTGCTTGTAAAATAGGAGAGACTTGGTACCTAGTTGTGTTCACACAAAGACTGTGCTGATGGTACAGAAGGACGAAGTTGTCTTTCTCAGATGCTTTGCTCTGGGGACCTGGGTTCTAGTCAGTAATCATCTAACCTGATGACATACGAGAGTTAGAGTCGAGGAAAGTACTTTGTTAACACAAACTTAACACAATGCTGTGACCCAGCCAGAATACCCTGTAAGACATGACCAAAGAGCTACCTATTTTTACTTTCCCCAGCCCTAGCCCTTGAGCCTACTCTCCCCAGTACATGCATCAAGGGCCTGGCCTTGGCCTCCCTTCCTGAGGAAGTTCTGCTGGCTGGGCCTAGACTGCCCTTCAGAGGCCCTTCCCAGGGCCACTCCGAAGGGTTCACATGCTAGGAGGCAGGCAGGCTACCCCTCCTGTGCCTGAGTACCAGCAAGCCAAGCCCAGCTGTGAGGCCTGTCTAATTTTAGGACCGCTTATACATTGGAAGGCCAAGCTTAATTTAGACTCAGCCTCATCAGGGTCCCTTTTAAAGCCTTAATGATGATGTTTTGGTGAAAAGAGAAGGGTGCCTTTGGAACCAGAAATGTTTGAGCCAGAGCTGAGGAGGACTGCTTGACCAGTTGGGACAGCTGGCCCTGTGTGAACATCCCCCCTGCTCAGCTCCTCTGCACGTAGCTCGCTGACCGGCTGACTTGCTGTGTGGCCATGGCTTCTTGTTATAGTGTGGGTTCTGCCCATCTGTGATTGGCTATGTTGTTTATAGGTACAATTATGACTTCCTATTCTTAGGTAACACTGCTGAAACCTTAGGCAAAGGAAGGGTTCATTGTCTTTGCAGGAATCCCATTGTCTTAGCAGGGATCATAAGTGAAGTTGCTGTCTACTGGGTAACTTTTCAAAGCTATGAGATGACCTGCTGGGAGAAGCCAGCTTCTCTGGGGTTTTCAGGTGAATTTTAACTCTGATAACTAAAATGATCCATTGAAATCTTCCATAAGATCTTGAGCACCAGAGTAGTGCCACTTCGAATGGTGTACTTGTGTCTCATTTGCAAAGCCCCTATACAGCACATGCAAGCCTTTGACCATTTCTCCTGGCAGACCCTGACAGCCTGGTTCCTTCTGGGACCTGATTATGTTGTGGGGTTTTTTTTTTGTTTTGTTTTGTTTTGTTTTGTTTTAAAGTCTAAGCGCCCTGAACTGAAGAGAGCAACCTCAAAGCCAACTCGTCTCCATTTGAAATTGGGTTGGCTGGCTGTTTTCAGTCCCATTTGGATTGATTTCTATGATAAAGTTTCTACTTATCATTATTATAATTTGGGGAGTTCATGTCCAATCCCCCAGGAGCCCCCAGGTCTGCCTGCCCTGTGAGTTCCTGTGTGCATGGGCTCTATGGCTGTCAAAGATGGCGTGGTCCATTTGTACTACAAACCCTGCAAGGAAAGCAGTGGGCAGAGCTCTTGATTGAAGGTAAAATATTCTCCTTTATCCCCTTGGAGGATAAGTGAAACTAAAAGAGCATTACAAAATTGCCTTTGTGCTGGTGGCTTTTGCAGCAGCTGTGTGAGAACTGACCAGCCACTTCCTAGCTGCATAAATCTACTGCCTGGGAGACAGGTGTCATTGAATTTTCTTTGTAGATTACTTGTAAATTCCACAGATACTCCTCACTTAGTACCCACTTCTCAGTCTCATCTTAAGAGTCTAGGAGACTTTATGCTAAAGAGTTGATCAACTGAAAGTTTAATATCAATGTCATAAATAGGCAAGGGTGGAGGGGAAAGACTGTCAAATTTGCTTTGAGCTTCCTGGAAGCCAGAAGGAAGAAGTAATTTTGCTAAGGGCTCATGTTACTGAGATAATCCTGTTGTTTAAGGCAGTTTGGGAGATAGGTAGGAGGCCCTCACCAAGGGCTGTGTATCCCCAAATCTGGGCTCGCTTTCCCTTAGCAGTACTGCAGGGGTCTCTGAGTGGCACCAATGGCTCACCCAATGGGTGCTAACTGGATGGTTGAAAGTTTAAGCCCAAACAAAGGCACTTCACAAAGGGAGAACTGACAAATTGCTTTCCTAAAAAATTTAGCTACTGAAGACTCTGTGGAGGCAGTTCTCTGCTGACACGTATGGGGTCACAGTGGGTCCTGACTGATTCCATGGCAACTGTTAGTACAGAGTTGGGGAGAATGGTAACTGCCTCCCACCACCTGTGATGGTGAAGGATGTCTGTTGTCCACCTGAGCGTGGGGAAGGGAGGGAAGGCTCGCTTAGGGAGCCGTAAAGAGCCAGAAGGAAATGGGCTCTCAGAATGGGCCGTGGTCTGACTCCGTGTGCCTTGGTTTCAGGATACCGGATGCGATTAGGGTCCAGCACAGACAAGAAGGATTCAGGTCGCCTCCACGTGGACTTTGCCCAGGCCCGGGACGACTTCTACGAGTGGGAATGCAAGCAGAGGATGCGGGCGCGAGAGGAAAGGCACCGCCGCAAGCTGGAGGAGGACCGCCTGCGGCCGCCCTCCCCCCCAGCCATCATGCACTACTCTGAGCACGAGGCCGCCCTGCTCGCCGAAAAACTGAAAGGTATGTGGGGACTTTCTGCCCTAGACTTGACCACAGGCCTCAGAGCAACATGGTGGTCCTGTCAATAGCAACCCTGTGTGTATCTCAGACGTTGGGGTCTTCTAGACACAGCAGAAACCTGGGGAACTGAACCCTTGTCACCTGCTTGGGGCAGGACCCTCTGTGCTGCTCCCAGACACCTCCACCTTCACTCTCCATCAACATACTGACCACTCAACCTAATGCATCAGTTTTGGAGCCCGGGGCTGGGCAGCACCCACCCCAAAGCAGACTGCGGGCTTCTGGCCTGGTGTTTAATGGGCCAGGCAGTCCTGCTGCTATGACCAGGCAGTTCCAATTATTCATCCACCTACTTGCCATTGAGTTCACTCCACCTCATAGTGGCCCCATACATGAGAGTAGATCTGTATATGAGCTTTTAAAGGCCAATTTTTTTCCAAAGTAAATCTCCAGATCTTCTTACTTCTCTTGGTTGAAGTTAAACCTCTAACCTTAAATTTAGTAGACTTTAACTATTTGCACTACTCAGAGACTTAATTGCTCTCTAAGATAAGTGCAGCTGTGCCACACTCTTCACAAGCCTTACTTCCCAATATCCAGTGTGTGGAATCCAGCCAGGATACAAGCGGCTCTCAAAAGAGGTGTAGACTAGAGTTTCTTTCTCTGGAGATGGAGCTGAGGAGGCGTGTCTCACACCCACATTAATTAGAAGATACTATAGTTTATCCCTTCAGAATTTTGCTGGGCCCATCGTCCACCTTTGACACTGCAGAAGAGAGAGCTGCTCCATGATGAAGGAAAGAGACTCGGTTTGATGTTAGAATGAATGCTCTGTTTGGAACTCCGTTCTTACACTGCGTGAAGTGGTATTTCCTGAGAAAAACCTGCATATTTACCACCAGCCCACAATGGTCAGAAGGTTCAATGAGAAGAGAGAGGGGAAAGGCCCTGTAGTAGTCATTAGCCACGCATAGGTGTCTACAGCTAAACAGTTAACTACAGTACAACCCAGGTTTGAGCAATACACGTAGGGACCACCCCAGGTCAAGTGTGATAATGGTCAGGAAGTGTTAAGAAAGTCATCATAGGCAAAACAAAATTTTAATTTTTCAGGAAACACAGGATTTTTTTTCCAGAAGAAGAGGAGTGTTAGGCCCATAAAGGAGTGTTCTAGCAAGAGGCTAGCACCCTACGAATGCAGGTTCAGAAGCGGACTCTGTGTGATTAACACAAGGGGAGATAGTGGACATGTTGCTCGCTCTGAGCTACATGGAGGCATGTTGAGCCCTAATTACTACTTTGGCAATTCCTAATGCGATTGCACCTCATTTTAGAAAGATGAGAAATTGACAGTCCATGCCTTCTGCCTTTGAAAACAGGGAGGGGTTCTGCTTCCCGTTTTTATCCACAGTTTGGAAATTTATAAATCCCTGCTATTGGGTGAGCTCCAGTAGCCTAGTTCATAGAGAATTCTGCCAACCTAAAGGCAAGTGGTCCTAATCCACCAGCATCTCTGCAGGTAAAAGATGGGCAGTCTCCTCCTGGGTGCTTTCCAGCCTCAGACAACCTGCTGGAGTGTCAGCTATGAGTTGGTTCCAACTTGACAGCAATTAGTTTCATGTTTTGTGGGTTTTTTCCTAGTTGTTATTGTTAGTTGCCATCAATCAGACCCTGACTCGTGGAAGCCCCATATGTGCAGAATAGCAGTGTTAGGTGGGGTGTGCAAGGCTGTGGTCCTTTAGAAGCAGACGTTCAGGCCTGTCTTCTGAAGCACCTCTGGGTGAGTTCAACCTTCCATTGAGTTGTCTAGCACTTAGCTATTTGAGCCACCCAGGAATCCAGTTCCTTGCAAACTGCAAGGGCTCTGTTGTAACCTGGAATGCTTCTTAATCTTTCTGAGAAAGGATTTCTTGTAGGTGTGAATACATAGGTTGTTCTCACATTGTAATAAAAACTATATACTACACATATGGTCTCATGTATCTGTTTAGCACAGAGACCATAGAAGTGGCTTAGTTCTCCCGCAGGACTGCTGATAGAAACCAGTAATTGTTTCTAATCACCAGCACATTCTGCAGCGTCCACTTTTGAGCTACAGAGCTAAAACTCTTCAGTCATGGCCACAGCGGGAGGAGCGGAATCCAGCACCTGAGTCCCGTGACCCCCCTGGAGGAGTTTCATTATGACCTCGCATCCACACTAGCTATTTTAAGGATGCGGCACGGAAGTGGTACACATGTTAAGAAATGCAGGGCATTTGCCTCTCTCCTGAGAAGAGAACAGATTGGGATGTCAATTTGGTAAAGCAATTTGCAAGTCTTGCCATTTCAAAAATATATATTTATACAGAGGAGTATAATTTGCAGAATCCGGAAGCAGCTCCTTTGCCAAGTGCTGTGTGATCCCTTGAGGAGAGAACAGATTGGAAATTTTAATAGATGGCAGTTACAGTGGAGTGAACTAGCTGGGGACACATCTCAGGCACGAGTCAGGTACTATCGAGCTTGACAATTTCCAGCCAAGCACAGAGTTTGGAATATAAACAGCGTTTAATTGTTTAGGAAACTGGCTGCCTCACAGAGAGGGGAGCTGCTCTGTGCAGGAGGAGCCGGGAAGCTGTGCCCCTGCCAGCAGCATGGAAGTGGGGAAGAGCTGTAGTGAGGCCTGCAGGTAAAGGGCCTGTGTCAGGGAGGAAGTGGAAATGCAGTCCAAAATTACCTAATTAGAATTTTTTTTCTTTTTACGTTCCCCTGAGAAACCTCGAGATCTTAGGTTTATCAGAGACATTCCTTCTCCCCTCATTTTACACTGCACTCATTCCAGCTCATAATTATCTACCAGAAGACCAGCTTTATCTAGCAACAGCAGTAAAGTCTTTCTGATGATCCACCAGGACCTCTGTGCTTTGCCCAGTGCAAAGGCAATGCAGCACAGTAGGTGTTCAGTAAATCATTTCTCTCTTCCTCGGCTGATTGGGGCCAGAAATAGGTGTGTGACATTTCTGGCCACTAGTGCCAGCAGCATGGCTAGAAGTTGAGGCCTGCAGTGGGCACTCGGCCCTCATTCCAGCCTCCAAAAGCATGTGTACTGAGCTTTTCACCACATGCCTGACATGGTGCTAGGCACTGGAGACAGGAAGCAATGTGGAAGCCCTGCCCCAACCCAGTTAATGTGGCTTGAATGATAGAGGCAATTGCAAAGCACACCCCACCATGGGAAGGGCAGTGTGCAGCACAGGAGAACATCCCAACCAGCGGGCACCTGGCCAGGCAGGAATGCCATCCCCAGGCCACTTGGTCTCCTGAAGCCAGGGTTTCCACTGCACAGGCACGGAGTCATCCAGACTCGGTTACATTAATACAAATTCTAAAGAAGAAAATTAGCCGGCACCCTGCTGATTAAATAGACATTGTTCTGAGACAATTCAGCTTAATGAAGACTGACTGGGAAGTAACAGCTCACAGAACCAAAGTTTATAGTGTGGCTTGGAGAAAGAGAAGACGTTCAATAACACCATAATTACACTTTATTGGAAACAGTGGCACCAGGCAGATGAGATAATGAATTTTGGTGTATCTCACGCAGACCATCTACCCCCGGGGAGACCCTCTGTTTGGATGGTGGAAGGAGATTGATTAGACAGTGAGGAAGGATTATATACTAATGCACTGGGGATTTCTCTTAGAAGAGCATTTAAAAGTTTGTGTGTACTCTCTTCCCCTCTGGAAAGCTGCACATAATCTTTCATTATCTGAGGAAATGGAGTGTCCTCCAGCATCAGGTATGTCCTGACAATGCTTTCCAAATAAGTACCCTTGGGATCCCCTATGTTGTCAAGATTTCAGTCCTCTGGGAGCGGGGTCTCAGCACCCAGGAAACAAGGTAAGCATCAACTTGTCTGTACTTACTAGACTGCACTAGTTGTTGTTCTATGCCGTCTGCTTGAGAAGGACTGTAGAGACCCTCAACAACAGATCTGATCCCTGTGCCATCCAGCGCCATCCTCATCATCAGACATACCCAAGCCCAATGCTGCAGCCCCTGTGTAATCTGCAGGAAGCAAACACAAATCAGCAAAGAAAACTGAATATCCCATGGGTGCCAGAAAACCAGCCTGTCTTGGAGAAGCGCAACCAGGGTGCTGCTTAGAGGCAAAGATGATGAAACTCCATCTCACATACTTTGGACATGTTGTCTGGAGGCAGCAGCCCTTGGCAAAAGACATCATACTGGGAAAAGTGAAGGTCAGAGAACAGGAAGAAGACTCTCAACAAAACAGACAGGCATAGTGACTGTGACAGTGGACTTGAACTTAGAGAAGACGGTGAGGAGGGCACAGGGTTGGGGGAGGCATGGCACTTTTGTTCATAGGGTGGCTGGGAGTCAAAGCTGACTTGATGCCACATAACAATAACAACTTCCAGTAAACAAAGGCAACTTGTAGTAAACAAATTCACTTTTCAGGGATATAATGAAAAAAAAAACAATAACATGAAACTGTCACTGTGTCGTTGTACACAAGTATTGTCTGTGCTTGCTTTTCATTCTGGGCCTGCCCTCTCTGTCGAGGTTGTTTATGTGAAAAGAACCTTTGAGTCTGTTGGATTTAGAGACAAACAGATGCTGGTCGTCCTAGAAGCAGAAGCTTTGATACGGTGGGGAGTAAATATGTACCGTTATTCACTTCTAATTAGTCAGTAAGCCTAACTAAACCCTGCTTACCTGGCTTACTGAGTCATCTGACCCAGGTGGGGTCCACATTCTTCTTTGCCAGAGGACTAAGGTCAGATTTGCATAGTCTGGCCCAGTGTCTGCTGACCGGCGGGAAGGAAGGTGATGCTGGAGTTTGCTGAGGTGGTTGTCAATATTTATGGTTCCCTGAAAGTAAAAATCGATACTGCTATGAGCCTCGTGAAGTTCCATTAGCTAAAAGCCAGGCTTCCTTCTGAGGACAAGGAGAATGTGAAAGCACGGGCACCTGTTTGCGAAGTTCCTCTTCA